TGCTGGCATGGGAGGGCAACTGCCCTTCAATCTCTGTTGCACGGCAGCATCCATGCTGGATTTAGCACCCGTTGGGGTGAAGGCTTTTCAGGTAGTGTTGGCGGGGCTTGGGTGAGGCTGCCAGGAGGAGAAACTGTGCGGTGCTGGGGAAGCTGCTCCTGCAGGGAGCTCACCCCAGGGAACAGTGGTAACTGTGGTATGGGTCCCAGCTGGGAACTGGCTTTTTCCAGCAGAATACCCTGTGTAAGGTCACAGCCTGATACCTGCTCTGTTGCAGAGTCCTAGAGCCACACAGAGTAAGAGTTGGAGGCACCTGTGCAGGGCTCAGTGCAAGAGCCAGGATCAGTTCACTGGCTGAGCATAGTGTGGAGCCAGCAGTGAGCAGAGATGAGGGGGATGCCACGACCAAATACTTGAGGCCAGAAGACCCTGATTTCTGCTGCCTGCCCCCGGGAATGATGCAGCCAGCACAAACCAAGCGCAGAGAGTACAAATCCACCACTGCCAGGCTCTGCGCTTCCTGCCCCATGATGAAAGACTGCGCTAGGGAAAGGGCAAGAGGCGAGTGCCAGCTGTTGCTGCACTATTTTATGGCTAGTTAGAAATGGCCAGTAGGGGTCACTGATATCTATTTATTTTATTCTATTCTATTTTTATACATATGCATTTATAAATATACAAAACATGCATAGGCAGCAATTGTAATGGAGAAGTGTTGATGTGCAATGTGTTCATCAAGTATACAGGTTGGAGGAAACTGTATGAAATACCAGCGGGAGCTGTGCATCCCTCTCTGCTCAAACTCCGTGATGGCATGAAACCACCGAGCCATGCCAAGCACCAGGGTACTGCGGCAGTGGGTTTCTGTCATTCTCCAGTTCTGCCTTCACCTTCCATCCTGTATTGGCAGAGATGGTTTGAGAGAGATGCAAGAGATTCAGAGATTCAAGCCTCAGGGGCAGGATATTGTGTCTGCTTGTCTTTCTGTGCAGTGCCCAGCACAATTACATCCCAGCCATGATGGGTGCCTTCAGGCAGTCCCATAAGACAAACAGCACTTTGTGTTGGGATGGGTCAGCATAGTTCTGTTCTTCAGCCGCTGTTGCTGGGGATCCTGATAGCAAAGTGTTTGCCTGTGAAAAAAACTCCAGGAGTTTTCTGAGGCTTGCTTCTTCATGTTAAAATTGAACCCCAACCCTCACTCTTATGTAGCTGTACAGCCTGAATTATACACATGGGTGTTGTTAGCAACTGTTTTACTGGTGGGTTGTATTTTTCTGGTAGGTGCATGCTCTAGGCATACTGGCAGGATGTGTTTGGCTGTCCAATTCTGCATCCACAGACTTGTTTGGTTGTCCCAGGCTGGCTGTGCTTTGCTGATCTTACTGTTCCCAAAATGCAGTTGGTTTTGGGTGCTGAGCTCCTCTTGTACTGGTATACCCCAGAGTGCAAGCTCTGCTCAAAATATGTCTCAGGCTTTTTGGTTTTGGTGGGCTCAGCCCATCCATGAAACCTCTTCTGCCTCTCAGGTTTTCCCAGCTGAGGTCTACCAGGGAATCCTCTGTGCAGCTGGAGTCAGAGATGTAGCGGAGGAGACAAGTGTTGCCCAAGAGTCCCTTCAGGACTGCAGCATCCAAGTCAGAGGAAATGGGACTTCATGCAACTCTCAGGCAAGTGACAGCCTCTGAGCCGGCCACCAAAGGGTGGTCTGCTACCTGCCATCTTCCCTGCTTGACCTGGGTTGGTGGGGAACTTGAGAGGACCAAGCCTGCACTGCCTTCTTCTGGTGGGGAGACATTATTTCTGCCATCTACTTCTTCACTAGCCAAGACTGTAGGCACTTTAGAGGGATTTGTCCCTCCACAGGGTGGCACCTGCCCCTCCAGGGGTTCCTTTTATACAGTTACAGGGTCTATATAAAGTGCTGCCAGCTGGAAAGTATTTTGAAGAGATTCCTCCCTGCTCGTCACTAAGGGTCATAAATTCAGCTGGTATTTGAGAGAATCTCAAATGTACTTCCAGGACTGTTTGCTGAGGGCTTTACATCCGCCAGAGGCCCCTTAAAATAAAAGGATTATTGGGAGTCAAGTGTTAAATTACCTGGTGCTTGTTAATTGAACTTCAGAGGCTTTAGCGAGCAACTGGCTCTAGCAGGGAGCAGCACTTTGGTATTAATGGTGTTATATAAATGAATATAATGTAACCTAACGTCTTGCTTCCGCATCATGTCACATCTCTGGGCTCAGGGCAGTGGTGAGTCCAGCTCACAAGCATACCGGATTCGGGAAAAGGCAGGGTGGATGTGTGTGGAGAGGGAGAGGGGTTGGGAATTAAGGCCTTCGGGATCCGAGGAAAGCGTTTTTCAGTGCTCAGAGCAGGTCACTGGTTCAGGCATCCTGAGTTCAGTTCCAGTCTCCCTTTGGCTGTCTGACCTTAGCATCTGATTTTGAGAAGAGTTGAGTTTAATGGAAGCAGTAAATGCTGAGACCATCTGAAAATCAAACTCTCTCCTTCCTGCAGGGCTTATTTCACCTAGACTTGCAAAAACCTTGAAGATCCTACTCTGACAGGTTACCAAAAGAAAGCAAAGGACTCTAATCATTGCTGCCATCAGTGTGCACCCACGGAAACTTGAACAGACCACAACTGTGAAGGCTCCAAGGCAGCAAGGCCCAGTGGAAATGAGAAACCTCATCAGCTATGAAAATTTCATCAGCTGGCGCTGTGGAAGCAAGAATCTGGAAGTGCAGAGCAGATGGGCAGCCTGGATTCTTGGAGCCATTGTCCTTCTGCTTGTTATCTGACTCCGGCACAGGGAGGATTTGGAGAATTTATGGGGGCACAAGTACCGAAGGCTTTCTTGAAATATCCCTGGCTGACGCGTGGCATGGTGCAGACGGCACTTGCTGGGTGTGCAGCAGACGTTTTTGCACAATATTCCCAAGGTCACGGAAGTGGGGTCCTGCTGAGCACCTGTCTTTTATTGTGTAAGAGAGGGGACCATTTGGGCAGAGTTTGCAGCGCTGTGAGCCTGGTACTACGTGAATGCAAATCTGAAGGCTTTGTAAATGTAGCACACTGAGGAACATCATCCAAATACTACCAGGACTTTTCTAGACCACGCAAATTTCCTCTGGACTAGGCTCCATTATTTACCATGTGAGTAATCAGTTCAGGAGATGTTTGTGAAAGAAACAATAATGGGGAAGGGGAGCAGAGGGTAAGTCTAGGCACCAGGCATGAGAGGCAATGGACAAAGCACCTGTATGAGCTCAGTGTGGAATAAATGGGGCAATTTGGTTCAAAATTAAAATGTATTGACTTCTTGAAGTCCCAAGGCTAGAACAATAGAGTGAAAGGGTTTGCAAATAAAGACCAAAGCACATTACCAAATTGTGTCCAGGTTTGACTAGCTCTTGCCCACCTTTGACTGGTACCTGATGTCCTCAGCCCCTCTCCTTTAAGGAGCAGGCAGTTGTCCTTGGAGGTTTTACGTGGACTTTTCCATTTACCACTCTCCCCTTTCCCCCCTCCCTCCTTCTCCACCTGGCCCCACAGATGGGGTAATACATCCCTAGTGACAGGCTGTGATATGCCCCAGACTGTCAGAATGTTTCTCAGAAACTAAGGCACTTAACAATGGGAAGGAGCTGATCCTGGACACTGGCTCCCAGAGAGTTGTCCTGGCTGGCAAAGATGTGAAGAGGGCAGATCGCCTGCAGTTACTGTAAGCCCATTTTGGGGTCCTGAGTGCACTAATTGCTGTGACCAGCCTATACCATGTTTTTTCAGACATCTTCATCAACTCAGGGGTTGAGCTGCCTCTTTTCAAGGTCTGCTCTCAACTGTGTAACCTTGGAGGTAGTCTGTGAGGTGACCAAGGGCTGCAGCCTGGCTTCTCTGTTGAGCCTCCAGAAGCAAACGCAGGGGCAGGAGCAGGGGCAGGTTCTTCATCCTTCCCCAGCCAGGCGAGAGGCCTCTGCCAGAGCCATGCAGCGAAAGAAAGGCAGCTCAACAGCCTGTCGGCCCATCCCGCATCCTTCAATACATTTGAAGACATCTCAACCCTGCCCATTTCCCACCCGAGGGCACACAGGTCCCGGTGTGTTGGTCCATCCCTGTGCCGTGCCCTCGGTGGTACTTTTTGAGCCGGCTTGTCTAATCAGGGAGATTTATTGAATATGAACGTCCACAGACAGCCTCGCGGCGTGACCGCGTCCCCAGGTGTCCCCGCTGGCAGAGCCCTGCGAAGGCCTCACGGGAACCTCCTCTTACAGGGGAGCGCGGCGGGAGCCCTCTCTATGGGCACGTCGGGGAAGGAGCCCAAACAGCCCAGCAAAGCTTTCCCAAACAAACGCGGGCCTGCCCGAAGCTGCCACCCGCCCCTTGCTACCTTGCTACCACGGCCCCGGACCCCACCGAAGCGGAAAGGGTAAGCGGTCCCGGCCCGCGCGGCGGCAGGCCGGACACGCTGCG